ACTTCATCGAGCTCACTCTCAACGTCGAGAAACTACGCCCTCTCTTCAGCCCAATATCTGGTCAGTCAACTCTGACAAACACTACGTAGTACTACAGTACATCAAAGGACGATGGAGACGCACCAAAAGCAGTTGAGACGCCATTGTCGAAACCTGGACGAAGGCAACTTTGCTCGATTCGCTGCAATTTCAATTGTGAGTAGAGGTGGTTTGCTGCACTAAACGATCCGACAGTTAGGCCCGGGGACACGACGATGAAAGATTCTTTCTCGAGTCTGCCATCACGAACAATCTTTTGCCCTGGGATGGTACATTTTTAAGTAACTGGTGCATTGAACTTTATACTAGCAGACTGCACCGTCGCTCTATCGTCGGAGCTTATTGCATCTAAGCCGAGGTGGGGGCTGTGTATGCAGTCAGAGTGATCGGCGAGTCACCGGAGCATACGGAGAACGAGGAGGTGGCCGTCGCAGCTGCGCAGTCAATCTGCGTGGTCGCTCCCTCGCTCGTGATGTTTGTCGGCTTCTCGTAGCACGTACGGATAGCCGACAGTTGGTTGTTGCCATCCACAGCCGAGCACAACACCATGACACTGTGGCCGTAGAGAGCCTCAATCTCGGCCAGAGTCGTCTGAGGCGTCGACTGAGCTGCCCACTTGTTGATCTGCTCGGTGGCTGAACTGATGCGGTCCGCCGTGCTCAGCGTAGCAGTGAAGTACGTGACAGCAGCCGAGATGTAATCAGCGTCGTCAGCGGCATAGCAGAGACCGTGCTTCTGGAACTCGTGGTTGTAGATCTCGCATAGCGATTCGTACGTAGTGGCTTGCGTAGCGTCCACCCACTTCTCACCCATGGTGGTGAGTAGGCTGCTTTGGGCGGCAGCGAAGTCAGCGGCGTTATAAGGGTCGTTGGCCACCGCTGAGCTCGGATTGCAGCAGCTCACGTAGCCATCGTTGTAATTGGGCCACAGACCGTGAATCGTGAGCTCACTCTTGACCACACTCTCCACGCAGGCTGTGCCGTTCGGGTACATATCGATGTTTTGGTGCGAAATAGTGGAGTCGACACCCTTTAGCAGGTCACGGCAGAACTGCGGCACGAAGAGCTGCTCCAGG